AAGATCGGCTTCACCTCATTTCAATTGGAAGACCCACATATGGCCGCAGACGTTGAGGCCAAAGCTTGGTTCGATGTGTGGGCCAGTCACGGACCCCTCAGCATGGGCACCCCGCATCGGCAGTGGGAGGACATCCAGTGCGACCACAGCTTGCTGGAGGGCATCGCTAATATTATGCCCGAGCGGTTCCGAGCTATGTGTCGGGCATTCGAGCCGCATGCTGGCGTCGGAATCGGCTGCTGGCATCCCCGATGGTGAAGTTGGTTCTCGGACGGCGCTGCGCAGTTTCTGATCGACTTCATGCGCTGCGTCTCGCGCAGGGCCCACTGGCCGCCACAGATGCGGTATCTCATGTATTTCTTGTTGCAGAAACCGAAAGGAGGAACCAGACCCCTCGGGCTCCTGCCCGCCCCCATGCGCGCGGCTGAGAGGGCTTAGTTTCCGCTCTTCTGTGCTTGGGAGAACATGATTCGGAGGCCTTGCGACGCGGCTGGGCCTGGAGGCGGGGCAGGAGAAGCTATTTGGCACCAGATGCGCGTCGATGAGGGGGCAACAGGTCTATTGGCATTGCCACAGCCACTGGGGTTCTTGATTGGGAAAAGGCCTTCGAGCACACTGAGCGCACCTCTATGTACAAGCTCTGGGAGATTGCTGATGAGGTCGGGTTCCCACGACAGCTACTGAAGATGGAGATTTTCCTTTTCACGTGTCAGGAGTGGCTTTCAGGGGAGCCGCTAGCTCTCAGAGTGGCACCATGCATTCCGCTGTTGTAGCAGGCAGCACCGCAGGTACTCGAGCGCTGAAAATGGTGGTCATTAGAGTTCTGGATCACATCATGGCACGTTGGCCGCACATGTACATCACCCTGTACGTCGATGACGTCAGCTTCCAGCGCAGAGCGGGCCCCATCACTATTTCGGAAGAATTGGGAGATGCGGTCGCCTACTACACCGAGCAGATCGAGGGCGACGGCCTCCCCGTCTCTCGCCGCCGCGATGGCGGCGCGGCAGGCAATGGGTTCATTTTGAGATTCTCGCCGCGCGCGCCAGGCGTGCAAGCACTGGGCAGGCCGCTTGGGCCTCGAGTTTAAATCGCTATAGTGATCAGCTTGGCGTAGACAGCGCTGGCGGCAAGACTGCGAGAGTTCGAGGGCGCATCTGGGGCTGGGAGCAGGTTGCTCTCAAGCGGAGCGCAAGATAGCGGCGTTCTCTCGGCAGGGGGCGCTCGTGGGTAAGGTCGTGCGCTGTGGCCTGATACATTCCCCCACGTACGGCTCCTTTTGCTTAGGCATGGACCGCAGCAAGCTCAACAGGGCGAGGCAATTCGTGGCGAGTAGTCTTGGAGGTGCTGCTATCGGTTAAGACCGTGCTTTGCGACTGCGGCTCCGCCACGGTGACCCGGTGATCGAAGCGCGCGTCGAGCCATTGGCCCAGTGGGCCATTGCAGTTTTCAGCGACGTTTCACTGCGTGAGCTCGAGCCGGGATGGAGACAAGCAAGCACTAAATTCGCTGCCCGACCGCTCGCGAACCGCTGGAGGCAGGTTTGCGGGCCAGCGTCGGCCGTGCATGCCGCGCTCGGCAGGCTCGGATGGCACTGGCCAGCCTATCAGTCTCTCTTCGCCCACACGGGGTACCGCCTAGACCTCCGTCGCACAGCCCCCACGGCCTCGAAGGGGCTTGTGATGGCAAGGATCGAAGCCGTTGAGCTCGCCGCGTGGGCGTCAGCCAGGGACCTCAGGTTCGGGCGGCCTTTCCTGGAGCCTATCCGTGCTGCGCTTCGGCAGCGACGAAACTACCCTGGGCGCCAGCGGGCCATTTTGGCCTCTGTGTAAATCTATATGGACTCAGGACAAGGTCTGGAAGGCGGGGCATAGCGACTCTCGCGAGTGCCAACTCTGTCAAGCGCCCGAAGGCATGCAGCACCACCGCTTCTGCAAGCGCCCATGTCTGAATGGGGCCCGCAGCGTTGCGGCCGAGGAAGTGCCGGAGATTGCCCGGAGAGCGGCGGACTCAACGCCCTCCCCCCTCCTGTGTTCGCGAGGCCTCACTGCCCACCCTGTTGACGACCCTTTTTCTTTTGTTCAGGAATATCACGAGGGGCTGGACCCTGAATTCGGTGACGATCCCCTCACCTCGGGGTGAGCGTGCTCGGATGGTTCGGGGATAGGCCCCCCAGGGTGCAAGTCGTTCGGATGGGGATTTGCGTTTCTCGACGGGGACGGTCGCGTCGTCAGGGTGGGTCGTGGCACCCTGGGGGGGGCCTCGCCTGTTGGGCTCGGTCCTGAGAGCTGAACTAATGGTGGGCCCTATAAAGGTCCTGCAGCACGGGAGGGCCCCGCTTCAGGTTGCTGTTGACAACAATACCGTGCATCGAGGCTTCCAGAGAGGGGAGGCCTGGCGCACTAAAGCCAGGCGCCCGCATGCCGATCTGCGGCGACGCATCTGGTTGCTCGTTCGAGACGAGTACCGAGAACCTGGCGCGCTCGAAGTTGTCAAGGTGAAGGCCCACTCGGGCCGCGGGGCTGTGCTGGCAGCCCTGCAGGCTCGCCAACACTGGACTTTCGACCTCGGTGAGCTGGGGTGCGCCATCGGGGAGTTCGCAAACAAACAAGCTCTCCGTTTCTCTATCGCGTGATGCTGACGGCTTCGCCCACGCCGGCTTGAGACAACAATTGGGGATGAAAAACCGGCCTGGGGAGACGGTTGGGATTTCGGAGGACCCCGCATTGAAATCTAGGCAAGAGCGTGTTCTTCCGCTGCTGGCGGAAAACCAGGAGGGGGCCACTACCGGTTCGAACCCCCCCCCCTCCGGAAAACCGGGGGGCGTCACTACCGGTTCGAACCCCTCCCAGTCCATCATGAAAATGGGGGGGGGGGGGGGGGGTGTCACTACCGGTTCGAGCCCCCCCTTCCTCGAAAACCGCTCCCCCCCCCCCCCCCCCCGCCCCCCCTCTCGAAAACCGCGGGGGGGTGCGGACAGCGGTGGGGACGGTGGTGGTGGGGACAGTGGTGAGGGGACAGCGGGACAGTGGCGGGGGCAGTGGGACAGTGGTGGGGACGGTAGTGGTGGGGACTGGGGATCTAGAAGTTTCATGCTTGTGTTTGGAATGTGGGCACAGCTGGGGCATCGCAGTGTCGACCATCATTGTTTTGGAAGAAGCTACTTGTGCCTCAGGTTTATACGTTTGGCCCCAGTGGAGCATGCCAGCCTGGTTTAAGGGAAAAGGGATGTGTGTCTAGTATATATATGTATATATATATATATATATATATATATATATATATGTATATATATATGTATATATATAATATACATATATACATATGTATGCATACATGTGTACATACCAAGATTTTTTTTTAAAAAAAAAACAAATGAGTTAAGACAATGTTAGCCGATCGGATGCGTCATGGAAGGTTATTTGGGGGCCCTGCTGGGCCTTCTTGGTGGCCTCCCAAGACTGTGCTGGAGCCATTGTGGCCGCCTTTGAAGCTATGTTGGGCCGTCGTGGACGCTGTCGAAGGCCATCTTGTCCGACTTGGAGGCAATGGTGGTTGTCTTGGAGTCCATATGGGGTCATCTTGGCCTTCTTGTAGACCTTTTTTCGAGTCGACATGGAAGTAGCGGGCGCCTGAGGAGGGGAGAGGGTCCACGGACCTTTCTTCCTGGAAATCTGCATTCGGGGCGACCTTCGGTTGAGAGGGCAACAAAGGCAGGGACGTAGTCAACGACATGAACGCACGTTCGCTTGTTAGGCTGGATGCGTCGGAGGGCCATAACCTCAGCTGCACAAAACTAGCGAATGTGACGAACAGAGCAAAGACCCGACACACATACACACACACCGCTGCAAGCGCGGTGGCTGATATTCAACACCAGAGCGTCGGACACGTTTATATATGTATATATATATATATATATATATATATATATACATACATACATACATACAGACATACATACATACATACATATACATATACACATATATATATATATATATAATGAAAATAAGGTTTTGCCGCTTCCAGGGCCCAGTCAGATCTGAGCTGCCTGTTGGCCCTCTTCGCCACGATTGGCTCACATCGAAGTCTGAGCATGCTACGCTCCAGTGGTTCATCCTATAGCCTTGGCGGCATATTCAGAGTGTCGGGGGGAAATCATGAATGCTGGCTGGGTTTGCGATGATTGGATTTGGATCCTTCGCTTGCGGCCCCCATCTGGACTAAAGTGAGCAGTATTGGATCACGTGGCAAGACGGAAGCGAAGTCGACACGTGTGTGGGATTACGGACCCCACATTCATGATGCAATTCCTGGGAGGTTGGAATTTGCATCGCGCCACCAGATTCGCGGCCGAAATCCGGCGCACTCTGGCCGAGTGATCCGGCTCCTCCATCCCGTTACATTTGGCCTGTTTTGTTTCATTGGCGTTTGAATCGGGTTTCATAGTTGTTAATCCTTCTTACGAAGACCTCCCAGGCGTCTCCAGGCCCCGAGCCGTTTTTTGGCGGCCGCGGGCTTGGCGAGGGTCCCTGGTGGCCGAGCACCAAGAGAAACCAGTCTTCTTGATTGGTTCAATACTTTGGAGGGTTGAGCTCTCGTCGGAGGCCTGGAGGTCGGCACTCACACCAATACCTTGGGTGCGCGTTCGCCGAGGGGAGATGATGCTGATCTCGGTGATGAAGTATTTGGTCTACCCAGGAGGCTGGAATGTGATCATGCACACTAACATCCAGGATCTCCAGGCAACCCCCAGCCTGGAACATATCCCTATCCCTATGCTGGGCACCTCCTCATCACGATGCCAATCTTAGGGACTCCCTGATTTTCTGAGGGCGAATCCGTAAGATTGTCATCGCCTTTTGGCGTGTCAATCTTAGGGATAGGGACAAGTTCGAGGCTGGTAAGGCAATCCCCTTGTGTTGTGTAGTGCTGCCGCCTACCTCTGAGCTTCCAGCCCTGGGCACCCGTGGACCTCCGCGGCCGCTGCCCAAGAGGAGACTGAGTTCCGCCGAGGCGCATTGGCAGGCACTGCTGGCTGCCCGAGGTCGCGCTGTGCCGGCCTCGCCGCCGCCGCCGCCGCCGCCGCCGTCGTCGTCGTCGGCGTCGGCGTCGGCGTCGGCGTCGGCGTCGTCGTCGGCGTCGTCGTCGTCGGCAGCGGCGGCGGCGTCGTCGTCATCGTCGGCTTCGTCATCGTCGGTGTCGGCGTCGGCGTCGGCGTCGGCGTCGTCGCCGTCGTCGTCGTCGTCGGCGGCGGCGGCGGCGGCGTCGGCGTCGGTGTCGTCGGTGTCGTCGGTGTCGTCGCCGTCGTCGTCGTCGTCGTCGTCGTCGTCGGCGGCGGCGGCGGCGGCGTCGGCGTCGGCGTCGGCGTCGGTCGTTTCGCGCGTCGCGCCCCGCGGTGCGCGGTCTCAGTCGCGGCCTCGCGCGCCCCCGCTCGGCCCTTCCCCTGGAGAGGCCGCCGCTCTGGCGCACGGTTCTCCCAGCACTGCCCCGGGGTCAGATTCAGGAGGGGAAAAAAGCACACAGACACAATGATTCGTCGATCTCCCAGGAAAAGATGGGAACATATGGGAAGTGGGGGGGGAGACAAAAACCCAGAAAATACAGGGAAACATGGGGAATCCTGTCATTTGTGCGTATTTCTTGGTGTGTCCCAGGGCCCCTTTAGTCAGAGGTCCCTGGGCCGCGAGCCCTGGCCCGAGCCCTCGCCCGGAGGCCCGAGGCCCGAGCGAGGGCCGGGAGCCTCGAGACGGAGGTCCGATGCAAACGGGGGTCTCAGCCAGAGCGCGGGATCGTTCAGCCACGCGCAGAGGCGGGTGGCGGGAGGGGGGAGGGCCTCTCAGAATAGGGGAACCGAAAGTGGCATGAACATCAGAACTCGGAGGTCCGCGCGGATTTCTCGGATCGGCGCTGGGGCCCCCTCCCTGGCGCGCGGAGCGCGCCAGGGGCGGCGCCGGAGGCGCCGCCAGGGGGGCCCAGCGCCGATCCGAGAAATCCGCGCGGACCTCCGAATCTTTCTGTTTATGCAACTTTTTGTTCCCCTATTAGAAGCACCCCTGCTTCTCAAAAGGAGCGGGCCTCGATCAGCCTTCTAAGAAGCAGCCTCCTTCGATGGAGCCCTTCCCCCTCCCTCCGCCCACATGCGTTGTATGGGCAAGTTGTTAGATAGCCTGAAATAGGGCGGGGGGGGGGGCGCAGAACGGGGGAAACATAGGTGTAAACGTAGGTGCGGATTTCAAAAAAATACTCCGACGGTAGGACCCCACATGAGAATATGTTTAGCTTACCCTTTGCCCTTTCCTCCTCCCCCTGGCGGACACCCTCTCCTCTCGCCCCCTGCACTGCCCTCTCTTCCCCCTTTTATTTCTCTTCCTCCTCCTCTTTCTCCTCCTCCTCCTCTTCCTCCTCCTCCTCCTCCTCCTCCTCCTCCTCCTCCTCCTCCTCTCACGCCAACTCCTCCTCGTCGTCGGCCTCCCCCATGCCCCTTCCTTCCTCATCCCCCTGCCTTTTCTCCATGTGTACCTCCCCTTCCCCCTCGTCGGGGCAAGCAAATCCATTTTCCTCAGCGCCGTCGCCGCCTCGGCCAGCGCGCGCGCGTCTACCGACGGCTAGATCGCGAAACCGTCGGGGCAAACCTTCGGGCTGGGCCGTAGGTTCCCGCTCGAGACTTCCTCCATATTCAGGTCTCAAGAGCCCAAAAGTGACGACAGTTGCACGTTGCGGATGACCCGCTCGGATTCGAACGTGAAGTGCGGGCCCCATAGGGAGGGGGTTCCCGCTTGAGACTTCCTCACAATTCACTCACAGACGAGGCTCCCGCTCGAGACTTCCTCCATATTCAGGTCTCAAGAGCCCAAAAGTGACGACAGTTGCACGTTGCGGATGACCCGCTCGGATTCGAACATGAAGTGCGGGCCCAGAGGGAGGGTGCTCCCGCCTGAGACTTCCTCACAATTCGCTCACAGACAAGGCTCCCGCCTGATATTTCCTTCATATTCAGGCCTCAAGAGCCCAAAAGTGACGACAGTTACACGTTGCGGATGACCCGCTCGGATTCGAACATGAAGTGCGGGCCCCATAGGGAGGGGGCTCCCGCCGGAGACATCCTCGCAATTTACTCACAGACGAGGCTCCCGCTCGAGACTTCCTCCATATTCAGGTCTCAAGAGCCCACAAGTGACGACAGTTGCACGTTGCGGATGACCCGCTCGGATTCGAACATGAAGTGCGGGCCCCATATGGAGGGGGTCCCGCTGAGACTTCCTCACAATTCACTCACAGACGAGGCTCCCGCCTGATACTTCCTCCATATTCAGGCCTCAAGAGCCCAAAAGTGACGACAGTTACACGTTGCGGATGACCCGCTCGGATTCGAACATGAAGTGCGGGCCCCATAGGGAGGGGGCTCCCGCCTGAGACTTCCTCACAATTCACTCACAGACGAGGCTCCCGCTCGAGACTTCCTCCATATTCAGGTCTCAAGAGCCCAAAAGTGACGACAGTTGCACGTTGCGGATGACCCGCTCGGATTCGAACATGAAGTGCGGGCCCCATAGGGAGGGGGCTCCCGCCTGAGACTTCCTCACAATTCACTCACAGACGAGGCTCCCGCTCGAGACTTCCTCCATATTCAGGCCTCAAGAGCCCAAAAGTGACGACAGTTACACGTTGCGGATGACCCGCTCGGATTCGAACATGAAGTGCGGGCCCCATAGGGAGGGGGCTCCCGCCTGAGACTTCCTCACAATTCACTCACAGACGAGGCTCCCGCCTCGGACTCCCGCTCGAGACTTCCTCCATATTCAGGTCTCAAGAGCCCAAAAGTGACGACAGTTGCACGTTGCGGATGACCCGCTCGGATTCGAACATGAAGCGCGGGCCCCATAGGGAGGGGGCTCCCGCCTGAGAGTTCTTCACAATTCACTCACAGGCGGGGCTCCCGCCTGATACTTCCTCCAGGTGAGTATGTGAATGAGTGAGCGTGTGACAGAGTGCGAGTGATGATGATGATGGTGATGATGATGATGATGATGAGTATGTGAGTGACTGAGCGTGTGAGAGAGCGCGAATGATGATGCTGATGTTGATGCTGAAAGAGTGTGAGTGAGTGTGAGTGTGAGTGAGTGGTGATGATGATGAGTGAGTGAGTGAGTGTGCGAAGGCAGAAGAGGAGAGGGGGTGGGGTGAGTGTTCCTGCGCGGGGCGTGCGGAGAAAACAAGAACCCCACTTTGGATGTGGGGAAAAATTGGCGATGGCAATGCGAACTGCATCCAATTCTGCTTGTCTTAAGAAGGTTTTAAGAAAAGACACAAGCATCGGGGGTCTGACGCTAAGGTAGGATTGGGTGGGAGTCACAACGGGTGAAACGACGAATGAACGAAGGAGGAGGCGGAGGTGGGAGAGGATAAATTTGTCGAGTTGTTCCAGCAAGGCCCTCTGTGGATCCAGGGTATCACACCCTATCGAGTAATATTTGGGGTGGCCAAGACGGCCCATCCAGAAACGGTGGGGCATCTACACAGTCGTTCTGGACGTCATCAGTCCGTTGTGCGTCCCCAAAGGCTCCCAGGCCCAACTGTTCAGACCCAGCGCATGACCACGTGTGAACCTCTTCGTTCTCGCGTCGGTTCCGTAGCCGTTTTGGCTTTAGCAATGTTTGTTTTTTTTTGTACGCGGGTGACGCTGATGCGCCCGAGGCGCCGCCCGAGGGGGCGGCTGCGGCAACCCCAGCGCCGCCGTTGGCGGCTCGAGGGGGCGCGTGCGGCGCCAGAGGCGCCCGCGGAGGAGGCGGCCGCGGCGTCCCAGGAGACGCCCGCGGCGACAGAGGGCGCGGCAGAGGCAGGGGCTTCAGGCGCAGCGCTGCGGAACAACAGAAACGAGATCTTAACAGACGGTCCAAACGCATAGAGGTTTTAGATGCAGAGTGCCACATTATGCATGCAGCCATCAACCCAGGAGAACAGCGTTTGGCATCGATGGTGCTGGCAACCTCTCATGACGCCAATGTGAGAACCACTCCTGAGTGCGCGATTGTCGATGGCCAGGTGATGCATGCCAAAACGATTCGGGACAAGGATTCTCGTGTTAAAGCCCGGCTGCTTCGAGGTGTTACCTCCCACGCGGTTCAGCGAGCTGTGGGTCTTGCGAACTTCTGCTCTTCAGCCCGCGGTGATGCGCATGATGGCGGTCGACGCTGTTGTCTTATATCCATGAGCGTGTGGGATGATGCTGCGATGTGGGTCACTCTTCAAGTCCCTGGGAATGAAGACTCGCTCAGCACTGCGGCTCCGTCACTTCATCGCAGCCGCAAGCAGGTCGGCAAGAGAGTTCACCAAGCAGTGCTCAACCAGTGCGAGACGTTGATCGTCGATGTTGTTAGAGGTGGCGGGAACGTGTTCACATGCGGCGCAGAAGTGCATTGCCCTGCCCAACCACTTCCATCAGCGAACGCATCGACCATCAGGAACTGTATTGGGCGGTGGTCTGCGCTCAGCTCCACGGGCTCAGGCAGGTGCTTGGATCCAGAGAGGGTGTTGCAGAGGGCTCTTGATTCCATCAGTTGGAAAGTAATCGTGTGGAGCAAAGACAATGCAGGCCTGCATCGATGCATCATCGGCATGGAACAGCGTGCTCTTGAGGTTGAACACAAGTATGGGAGTTCTTTGCATGATGTTACCTCGTTGTTGCCATTATCGTGCGTTGGGCATTCTTGTTTGCTGGCAATGGAACCGATACATGAATCAAGCGTCTTGCCAGGAAAATTTGCCAGATTGGTTCATCTGTTCGAGTCTGCGCGGATCCAGCGTTTGTTCAAGGGCGAAGTCAGAAAACATAGTATCAGCGCACTTTGATTTCCACAGGGTCGACGCGTTGCCACCATGTGTCCTAGACTGGCAACGCAACAGTCGCAAGGTATTAGTTTTGAGTCGGGCGCTGATGGACCTGCAGCCTGACGAAGGGGATCTGCTGTTGGCGGCCTACAGCGGCGACTGGAGCAGGCAGCCGAAGGTGCCCCGCCACTGCCTTGGAGAGCGCCTGTGCCCGCT